ACCAAGTATATTTAGGAGCCTGTCCCAATCTACATAGGTCAGTGGGTCTCCATAGTCCATGAGGTAAAATTAATAAAAGGCCTGACTAATTGGCATGACTTACAATTCAAGTCAGAGTACAGTATTAGACTCCATTGCCATTTTCAGATGAGTGTAACCTCCCCCACAGCTCGCTCCCATGACCAACCATCCCACTATTCCCATTTCCTGCCTGGTTTTCTTTCCTTTTTTTATTTCCCTCACTTTTTTTCTTTCCTCTGTCTCTGCATCACCTATCATTACTTTACTGAACTCCATTCTTGTTTCCCAATTAAACCTGTTTACATAAATAAAGGAAAATAAAATAAAGATCTATATTGACCCAAGTTTACACTGTACTGCATTACTCATGCACCAAAATAATGTACATGAGACTCTGAAATTAGGAATACACGTTTATTGTGAGAAAGTTATATCTACAAGAGAAAACTCAACATCAGTAAATCCTATTAGATGCAGTCACTGTTTGTGTATTCCGTGGGTGCAGTGGCTGTCCAGATGCAATAGCTAGCAATGGACATTCCTCTATTCATGCTGTTTAGCATACTGTATATGGGGGAGTCAATTACTCTCTCTCATTCAGCCCATGAGAATTAAGCAATCTATGGCCAGCTTTAGTTATAAGGTATATAGGCACAATCCCTCCGCATTACTACACAGATAAAAAGAAGGCAGAGGTAAAATTGTCATTCAGAGGAGAAAATCCATTTAATGCTCATTTGTTAAATCTCATTAGCTGCCTTGTCTGCACTACTGGGAGCAACATGTTACGATATTATACTTAAATTACTTTCAGAAATTTGTACTAAAAATAAACCTTAATCTCTTTTTGCATATTAAAAATTAATTTGTTTAATGCCTGATTATTTAATAGAACATTTTGACCCAATTTGATAAAAGGAAATCCAAGATTATATCTTTTTTTAACTTTTATTGATCTAAGGAAGTCTTTCAAAGAGCAACAGAACAGTTGATCTCTTGAAGGCTTTACTAATACTTTCACACATAGCCAGAGCACTTAAAGTACAATTTACAAGTTAAAATAATATCTTTTAGCTGATATCAAGGAAAAAATCTAGCTAGATTCTGTGTTTATATATAGAATATAGAATAAATTCCTTTGATGCCATTAACAAGAACTACAAGTAAATAAAGAAAAATAAATCGGGCCAGATATTTATGTAACTAATTGATGCATTTATATTTAAAACTTAAAGGCTTAATTTTCTCTTGCTCGGCCCGTGGCTGGACAAGAGGAAATCAGGTGGTTCCACACTAACAATTTGGATGGGAGTATCTCCGCTGTCCATTATTGTACTCCGTGGCATCTACGCAATGTGTCAGCATGGCCAAATGTAATCCCCACTGGGGACGCACATAACAGAAGCGCAATTGGGTAACAGCTGTTGCCCCATAAGAGGAAGTGTCTAAACAGGGACCTTCATGGCAGGAACATTAGGTATTATTTTGATGAAAGCTGGAGATTTCAAAAGATTTAAACAACTTTGAGATTGCAGTAAATTTTACAAGGGTTTTGGTTTTACGTTTTAATGCTTTTAGTGGTTGGTTTTAGATTCACTTTCAACGAACATTGAATATATTTAATGTTAACAGCTTCCATTTCTCATGAATCATTATTTTACTTCATGAGTCGTTATTTTATCCCCACCTGGAAAGACTGTTTTTTTTCTGCTCTCCCCAGAAGACACCACATAGGAATGTCAATCAAAAGGTAATGATATTGGGGTTGATTTACTAAAGGCAAGTAGACTGTTCACATTGCAGGGGTATTTCCCTTAGCTTAGCGAATGTGGTGAAAATTCACTTTGCAAAGGATACCCAATCATGTGCAAGGAAAATTAAAAAAGCAGTATTTTTGCTTGCACATGATTGGATGATGGAAATCAGCAAAGCTTCACCTCATTCACTTAGGGAAAATGTCCTTGCAAAGTGAACAGCCTATTTGCCTTTAGAAAATGAACCCTGTTGGTGAGAGCAAGAACCCCTATGATCATTTTTGTTAATTTACTTTTAAATACAAAAGACACCAATAAAATCACAGCATGCAGTCAATTTAGCAAATACATAAACCTTTGGATGACATGAAAAAACAAGACACTGATAAATAATGTAATGAAGGAAATTATTATACTCAATATGTTAGCTTTTGTGAAATGATGAATTTGTATTTCGGCTATTCACTTCAGGCTGGTATGGCTGATTTCAGTCGTATATCGGCTGAAATCAGCCGTACATCGGCTTGCTTCGTGTGGATTCGGATCAGCCGAACATACTCAGCATGTTCGGCTGACCCGAAGTGCAGAAGGAGTTCGACTCAGCCGATCCAACATCTGGATCGGCTGAGCCGAACCTACGGCAGGCTTCTCACTGCTGTTCGGGCTATTCTTAAAGATCCCGAACAGCAGTGAG